TGTGGATGACATCATAAATTCATGATTTACAGATTGGCTTAATACTATCCGTGCAGTCATGCTCATCCCATTAGTTTTAGTTACAGGGTATTATTTGATATCTTAGCGCATTATATATAGTCGTTTGGGTACGAAAGATTGGTGGAACAGTATGCTACGTTACTCACGTCTAGGCGCGTTGCACGTTTCTGTCTCGTTTCGTTTTTATCGACGAATTTTGCAAGAGCTAATTATTGTCTTTCATGTTTTTGTAGAGTTCCTCGATGATTGGAATGACATAGCACGCGTAGTGGCGGCGCCAAGGGGAGGCCACAGGGGGCTGAGCCCCCCCCCCCCAGAATTTTTTTTAGAGTTTTTAAAAAATTGATAATCTTATCTACAAATGTTATCCCAACGTGCTGCCTTCCGCACTGCAGAAGTTTTCCTTCAGTTGTATATTGGCTATTCACAGAATCCAAATGAAAATGACTTCTTTTCTTGCGGCTAAAGGCAATCTCTAAACTCTAAAATGAATCGTGACAAACATCGGACCATAGACTCTTTTTTTTTCTCTGAGAAAAGAACCACATAATCTTCAAGAATAAATAGAATCAAATGTTATTACTTCATCCTCATCACCATCACCTGAATCTGAAAATCTGTTTCCCTCGTCTTCGCCTGTACGTTCGGTTGATCTAACTTCATATGGTCTTATTCTGACACTTCATCATCTTTCGCAATCTCTATTTCTTTGAACGAAATTTTCAAAGGAAAAATCTCTTCCAAATAACATCAGTGAATCTTATGCTGATTGTGCCGTTAAATCAAAATTGACGACTTATCCAGTCAATCATCAAAAATGTTCTTTACGGTCTGACTGATACATTGATAGAAAATGGTTGAAGTATTCTGTGCAAAATGACGCATGTTTTTGTTATTAATGTCGTCATTTTCTTTCTAAGACACTAAAAGCTGATGACACTTTTTTCTACATCAGGTTTAATAATTGGAAAATGGCAGTGTAGAAAATTAGTAGTTTGATGAAACATGCACTGCTCCGATCGCATATCATTACACTAAAAAAATTATTTACCATATAAACAACGAAAAGAAACCGACTCCAATGTTTTCCAAGAATTAGATTCTAATCGTGCTATTCAAATTTGAAAAAATTGTGATCGTCTTATGAAGATTTGTTCAACATTACATGTTTTGACATGTCAGATAGTTAGCTTTACTAATGTAAAAATAAATCGCGAAAAATCAGATTTCTCGATTTTTAATCGATTTTGATTGATTTTATAATTTGTACTCGGTTTTAATCAATTATAATCGATTTTTTTTTATTCCTTGATCGATTATAATCAGTTTTAGTTAGTTTTTAATTAATTTTAATCGATTATTGGATTTTTAATCGGCTTTAATTAATTTATTGCAGGTCAATCGATTTTAATATGGTTTTATACCTTTTTGACTTAGATGAGTAATTATGACTTGCTATCGTATGTTGAAGTCTGTGTAAGCTTGGTCTAGTGTTACATCTACTATTTGTCGACACGAGGAGTCCGAAAAAAGCATTTGCAATAAATGTTTCAAAATGAAAACTGTAGAAAAACGCCTTTTTTAGTTATCGTAATTAAAATCGATTAAGAAAACAAATAACTGAATAAAATCGATTAAAAACCGAGAAATCCAGTTAAATCTGATTAAAATCATTTCATTTTAATCGAGTTTTAATCAAAAAATGATCGATAAAAATTTGATTTTTTGCAAGTTTTTTTTACATGGGTAGACGTCACAAGAAGGACGAAGAGTATGTAATTTCAACTCATGTTCGGAAGAATTAGCTAGCTCTTTCTCTATAAAAGAATGTTTCAAAATTGTCAGAATAATGTTTTGCTTGAGTTTAGAGAAAGTTAGCTGTCAATCACCACACGTATTCTTTTGTATACCTTTTGATATTTTGACCGTTGAGGGGCTGAGCCTCCCCAGATCAAAATTCCTGGCGCCGCCTCTAAGCACGCGCTCCGAAAAGCTCTAATAAACATTCGCATAGGTGTGAGCAGCTCCGCGGGATTATCACATCTGCTTCCATTGTATACTGTATGGTTCGATCTACGCTGAAGAGGGTGTGGCTATGGAAGTACTGTTCTACTGATACGGACCCTCACTCACACCCGCACCCGGCCACACCCATCTACGCTCACACCCTCTATCCTTTTATTAATTCAGGAAGGAAAGAACCATCTATTATCTAATATAGGATTGTAGAGGAGACCCAGAGCTATCTATCTATGAAAAAAAACCATAGGTTTCTACCCGAAATTTTGAAGCAAAATTCTTGTTTTCCAGAAAATCCTTCATGATTTTGATATCGAAAGGTTTTTAAGAATTGAGTTTGATCATAAAAATGTAGTCTAGAGTGTCCTGTTTCTATTACTGAAAACTTCAAGACGATAGCTTTTGTGGTTTTTGAATTATTACTCGAAAAACAACCAACTGCATTATATTTTGACGCCGATATTCATATTCTCATTCATTCTTTGCACATCGTTTTAGTACTGTAATTATTTATGAATCAATCTAACTTCGACATCTTTTATTTAAATAATCATTCATCACAATTAGCATATCTCTGTGTAAGGAAAATAGTCTTTTACATGTTTAAGAATCGTACATTCACCATGTAGACGTAAATAACGTAACTTTGCACAATTGATTCGTGTTATATTTCTTTGAAAATTGTGTGTCACTCTTGCCAGTGATTGATAATCAATAATAAGATAAACATTATTCGACAAACACATTTTCGTATCAAACAGAAATTGTTCAATATAATCATCATGAACACGAGTTAGATTAAGTAGAATAAGATGAGGATATTTGATAATTGATAAAGTTTGATCGTAATTTTTGAAATTTTCATATTGTTTTTTGTTTTGTGGTTTTTGATTAATTACAGTTAATTCTTTCATAAATGGAAATGAGTGAGCAATTTGAAGAAAGAATTCATGTTCAAAAGGTTGTTCATCAAATAGTAACACTTCAGTAACATATTTAAATAATCCACCTGGAAAATTATTTGTAATATTTCTATAAAATTTTAATTTATATGGACATGAATAAATGTGATATTCACTGTGTCCTGCCTCAGGAAAATAATTAACATAAGAAATAATTTGATTATTTTGAAAACTATTGAATGTGTGTTGAATATCTTCATTTAATGGTAAACGAATTTCATCACAAAGATATCTCATTGAACGTATGTTAAATACAAAATTTTTTAATCCTGGTATTCGATTGATAATATTTTTCTTCAAATCATTACTATCAACAAATTCTTCATTACATTGGATCATAAGATGTAAATCAAGTTTTTCTAAATTGATCATTCGATATAGAAGTGGTAGAATTAATGTTTTATAACCATATATATCTCTATCACTCTGAAGAGAAAAACATTTTAAACTAGATAATTTTTCCTAAAATAAAAAGAACATACATCACTTCATTTAAACAAATTAAATATTAATCTACCTTATTATTGATTGTTGTATCTACAGTGAAAATGAAATGAATATGAACATGAAATGAATGAAGTTGATTGAAACGTCCATCAAGTAAATAAAGACAATCAATAAAATCATCCAAACGGACATGTAATTCTAAGAGAGTTGAAGAGATAATAGTTGGAGGTGAAATACCAAATGATAATCGGTGATAGAAAATTGAAGATGGACCAAAATTTAGATATTTTAAATTGGGGAACATAGTAAAGATTTGTGTAAATATAAATATATTCATATATTCTGATAAACTTTGTTCGTTATTTTCCACAATATCAATAACAAGCGATAAGATTTGATTTTTGAAGAGAGGATTGAAAAAACTTTCGTCTAAATAAAAATAATATTCATTAATTAATTATAAAAAGGATCGAAAAAAAATCTTACCAGTAAAGAGCGATGGAGCTACTTCTACATTAATATCATATAGACCAAGTCCATATAAATTTGGATAATTTGTAGCAGAAAGAATACGTTTCATAGACGATGATTCAAGATTAAGCCATTGGATTTTATGATGAATTTCAGGTAAAATTTGTGAACAAAATCGATTAAGCATTGGATCTGGTAATGGACAGATGTAATCATCATCCGAAAAATATTGATATAAGTTCAAACAACTTGAAAAAATTGAATCATGTGCAATTGTATTGAGTCGTTTATTAACACCTATGAAATAGTAGAGCACTTCGACATTGTATAATTTTTTCAAAATAATCATAATTATCTCATCAGGTAAATCGTTTAATCGAGCCCAGAAATGTTCCATATTTATTTTCATTCTATTTTTTTTAACTCACACATATGAATATTTATATACATACGTTCATTTCATCTATTTGACCGATATCGTCAGTGAGAACAATGATGTTTTACATAGTTTAAATCGACAGTGAATGAATGAATAAAAAAATGGCATTGTTTCTTCGCCTGTTTTCTCATTCTACATGTCAATGAACATTAGCACAATATCTTTATTTTTAATATACTAAACATTATAATATTGTGATTAACATATTGTTTGTATTTGTTAGAATACGTTCTTTAAGAGCTCAAGATTATTTTGTTTAGATATTTGTTAAATACGTGGAAATATGATATTCAACAATTGTTCATATCGATCTCGTACATTTTATTTCGACGTAATTATTTATAAAATTATTATAAATAAAAAAATAAAATGTATCATTTTCTAATTTAAATTCTTCTATAATAAATTCATTTGTTCATTCTAAATCTCAATGTCATTTGTTTGTTAATTAAAAAAATAATATCGTATTTTTGTTATAAATGACAACGTTTCATTCAGAAGTCAGAGAAACTAAAAAAAAAAAAGATCAATTGTTCTGTAGGTGTTTTACACTCAGTCCCCGACAACCAAACAAGTACACAAACCAATGGGAGAAAAACTTGTTCCAAACTATTCGACTAGTTGGGCTTTAAAATTGAGTTTTAGCGCCTTAACATTACCAGAATTGTTATTTTTGAGCTCTAATGATTGTGTCGATGAAATGTGATAGAAATATATTAACTGTTTATCACTTCCTTTATAACCATAAATTTGACTTCTATAAGAGAATGAAAGGAAGATGATTAGAAGATTTTATCTTTCTTTCTAAAGGAAATGACGCTTTTACATAATCTATATCCTTTCCTGGCTAAGTATTTTTGTCGTTAAACTACTTTTTGATTGTCAGTTGTATGAATATATGGAATCATCGAATCAGACATCGTATATTTTCATATTAGGATAAAAGAAATACAAAATGTCTATAAGTTCTTTTTTTGTCGTCTGTGGCTACTTAAATAGTGTGACAAAGCAAACATTACGTCTGAATAAATTAGCATGATTTAGAATAACTCAGAATGTTGGAGCTTTTTCCCTTGTATTAATCTTTAATTTGTCTATCATGCGATGTCCAATTGAAGAAAAACTATTGATTCTCAAAGTATTGGATACTTCTACTTGCGAAATCTAGGCTAATTTAGTTCAAAAATTTATTCAAGTCGGTTTAATTGAAAAATTATAATCTTAGAAGTAATACTAGCTTTAAGATGTCAATATAGTACTTGGCAAAAATTCTGCATAGATACGAATGTTTCAAAATAGATGGAAATTCGAATCAGATTTTCTTCATTCATATAAACTTTATACTGTATTTTATTTGTTTCAAAAAGAATCGTTTTTCTTCGAGTGATACTCTTGTCTATCACCGTCGATCGAAAGCTCTTATGGAATATCAAAACTAAAGAGAAAACTCGTTTTTTTGAATCCAGATGGATTGATTTGATCTCAATTCAATTAAGGAAGCATAGATTTGATTCAATAGATGACACTTATTCTATATATGCCACTAGTTTACGCATGTTGATTAGAATTATATTTACTGAATGTAGAAACAATATTTTCGTCACTACCATTGTAGAACAAAACTTTTATTTGATAACTACACAAGGAATACTTTCTGTATGATAATTATCGATAAATAATCTTACTGCAATTAGCAATCATTTTGGACGTTTAATGAATGCGTCATCTTTGACAAATTCTTATTCACAAGTATCCTTTCCTAAAAATGTTTCGACAAACTTTTTAAATTCTCTTGACATCATAAACTTTTCAAAATTTCATGAAAGTGATATTCTTGAAAAGTTCAACAATTCTAGCAATTTTTAATTATTGAATTAAATTGAACAAGTAATACATTTTACTGGTTATATTTCAATGGTCTTATTACAAAAATATAAATGCAACCCAACAGAATATAAGATACATACGTATATGTGTGTCAAGAACTATTCATTAATTACTTAGGGCGTACAAGAAGTAGTGGCTGAGGTATCTGAATTTCATATACAATGTTTGAAGAAATTTTCTTTTTGTATGGACTGATAGTAAAAAAGAAGAGACTCTGCATTTCTACACTATTTAATCATTATTCATCCAATATCATAATAGTAAAATTTTCATTAGATTTGTTAAGCTCTGATATGTAACGATAATAATAAAGGAAAAAAAAATAGGTAGATATTTTTCGAATAACTTTTGATAGAAATAAGATCGAGAACGGAGGTTTTCATCGTTAAAAAGAGAAGACAAAGACGCATTGAATCATATATTGAAGGCTTCCTGACTGGTTTTTGTAAGCTTTCCAACCGACCTTTTTGAAAACAAGCGTACTCCTGTGGATTGGTCACAGTGAATTTTCAATTATCAGACATGCGTTTAAATTGTCAATGGAAGACTTACAAAACTCTGGAAATACTGCCGGTACATATTTTATTATTCAGCGGTTATAGGTATCCTTGTCGATACCCTAAATCGATTTCCTAAGAATACTGCGAAAAAAAAAATCACTTTTTTAATAAAAAAAAAACCATGCTTCCAATGATTAAAAAATTGATTGAAAAAATTTCAGAAATGATATTAGAAAATGCTAAGACATACAATTCGATACGTCTTTATCTTCTTCTTCTAAAGATGAAAATCACAGTTCTCTATCTTGTTTCTATCAAAAGCTATTCAAAAAATATCCACCTATTTTTTTTCCTTTATTATTATCGTTACATATCATAGCTTAACAAGTCTAATGAAAATTTTACTATTATGATATTAGATGAATAATGATTACATAGCGTAGAAATGCAGAGCTTCTTTTTTTTTACTATTAGTCTATACAAAAAGAAAATTTCTTCAAACATTCTATACGAAATTTCAGTGTTCGATCCAGGATTTTTGGATATGCTGGATCTCAGCTTCAAAACATGGGATTCAGATGAAACTTACAGAGGGTGAGATTTGAGCCAAATGATGAGTTTTTATCAAAAATTTTTTTCGATTGGAGTTTGCGAAAAAAGTTTTTTTGCTGGCCCTTCACACTGTCAATTTTTTTGCTTTTAGTACTATTCTGTTTTTTCGATATGATTCGAATCGGATAAAAACCGGCGGTATATCGCCAGTTTTGCTGGAATATAGAGTGTTGTACAGTCTTGTATCAAAACCGCTGAATATTTTTTAAGTCTGTTAAAACTAACAGAATTAAGCCATTTTTTTTTGCTTCAAGATAATTTCAATGTACTTGAGCCATCTGTACTAGCCACAGAGCCTATTTCGGTCCCAATTCTGGAATAAATTTTTAACTATAGATGGTACTGCAAAAATTTCTATTATTAAAATATTTTATAAAACTGTTTCTTTCTCGATAAACTGCAATTCTTTCTGATAATAAATTGAAGCTCAGGTGGAAAACGCTGTCTGCAGCCGCTTATAATTGGGACCGAAACTTGTAAAGGCTACCGCCGATGGATCGTCAGTATACCGCCGGTTCTTTTGAGTACCGCGGTGTACCGGTGGTACTGAAAAGAAACATACGACATGGATTAGAATTTAATCGTAATCTACATCAAATTTCATCGACAGAGTTAAAATTTCATCGAAAAGTTTTCATCCGTTCAGGAGATATAACGTTTTGAATTTTTGCCACATGTCGCAAAAATTCAAAACGTTATATCTCCTGAGCGGATGGAAACTTTTCGATGAAATTTTAACTCTGTCGATGAAATTTGATGTAGATTACGATTAAATTCTAGAAAACAGAATACTACTAAAAGCAAAAATATTGACAGGGGGTGGGGGAATGTGGGAGGAGCCAACAAAAAAATTTTTTCGCAAACTCCAATCGAAAAAACTTTTTGATAAAAATTCATCATTTGAGTCCAATATCACCCTTTGTAAGTTTCATCTGAATCCTATGCTTTGAAGCTGAGATCCAGCATACTCAAAAATCCTCGATAAAACACTGCAAAATTCAGATACCTCCGCCACTACTTTTTGTATGCCCTAAGTATAATCAGCTTGAAAATATTCTATTGGATCGTCATGGTCATATTAAACTAGTTGATTTTGGTTTTTATAAAGTAAATGTACCATTCAGGCAAATGACTGTGACGTTCTGTAGTACAACACAATATATTGCACCTTGGAGTATTATTGCAAAAAGAATTTCTGCTTAATGAAATCGTAAAAGTGCTGAACAGCACTCAGAGCATGAATTCGGTTAAGATAAAATTTCACTCATGCTGGTAGAAAATTTGTTGAGAGATAGTGATTCCGAATTAATACACGAAGAGATTAGCTTCACAAAAACTGAAACTAATCTTAGAGGTATTCCTTAGACTTGTACGAATTTGCTAGTAAAACCAGAAAGACTTTAGTCTAAAGATCTGAAACATATGAGAAGAGAAATGATCATTTCATAGAATATACATTACAGTGATTCTCTTTTCCTTCTGTATCTTTACACCGACAGTCTTATTCAAGCATCAGTAGTATGGACTCTTTTGTGTCTTGCAAGACGTGAATAATATCCTATAAGATTTGT